AACATGCGGCCATACCCAGTGATCACCTAGATTATGACACAGTCGATTAGGTCCATGATCAGAGATCACCAAAGAAGAAATTGTCTTCATTAGTTTCTTTTAAGCTATCTTTAGTATACTTTTCTGTCCATACCTGGACAGATCATCGGTAGAAAAAGTAGAACAAGGGAGACAATGCTTGACAGCCTAAGGCAGTGCTCCCCAAACTTTTTTTTTTAGTCGCGGCACCTTTTTTTTTAATTAAAAATTTGACATGGCGCCCCCTTGGTCTCAGTACATCATCATGTGTCCTGCCAACTGGTGTAGGTGTGCTCATGTACTGTATCAAATACTGTCTAAGAATACCTGAAGATCAGTCCTCCACAGATCACGATCCCTAGTTGCCTGGAAGAGCTCTCTCGATGATATCCCTCAATGCCATTGTTTCAGCCCTTCCAGCATCATCTCTCTTGGTGGTTTCATTCAATAATCCCTATTTTGCGAATGCTGCTCTTCCTTGTGCTATTCTACATTTATTCTTTTCTGGCAACCCATAAAATGGTCACTGACCCATTGTGTTGTGGTTTACAGCTAGGCCATCATATCTGTGCCTCCCCGTATGGGTTCCAAGTCCCACTGTGGGGAAAACAAGAACAGACTCACGGCCACCCCAAAAAGCATGTCCTAGGAGTTGGGGACATCCTTCGAAGTCAGAGTACATCTGCCTGAGAGGCATGGAACCACAAGTCTGCATACAAAGCCAGGTATGTGAAATGGGTGTGCAGGCATCACTCGGGTTCTTGAACAAGACTAAAGTCAGGAGGTGGATGAACACCCAGAGCTTTCTGCTGGAGTTTATACAGCCAGTGAATGCGACTAAGAGGAAGATATCTCTGATTTTCAGCCAAACAGGTCCGACTTCAGCAAATCCCTAATAAGTTGTTGTATACAACATGCTTGTTTGGAGACAGTGGCCCTTTGTTCTCTTTTCTCACTCAACAGAGCCAAAGAATCCAAACAAGATGTATTTATTTATTTTTTTTACATTGAATACGAACTCAGTTCTAAGCAACAACAAAAAGACGGAAGACCATGTGAGCAGGTTACAAATCTTTTTTTTTTTTAAATAAACATGGGGGAAAAAAAGAACTGAATTTTAAAAATGTAACAATAGAATGAGGATGAGACACTGCAGGCAAACACTTGGTTTGACTGATAGCCTTAAACATTTTTAGCTCCAGGCCTACTGCTTATTAGAATAACTGGAAGAAAATAAGAAACCAAACAGAATCAATGCTGCAGTAAGCTAAACACCATGTCCTTCGTTAAGGTACACTAGTAAGTTTAACACCATGTCCTTTGTTTAGGTACACCAGTAAGCTAAACACCATGTCCTTCGTTTAGGTACACTAGTAAGCTAAACACTATGTCCTTTGTTTAGGTACACCAGTAAGTTTAACACCATGTCCTTTGTTTAGGTACACCAGTAAGCTAAACACCATGTCCTTTGGTTAGGTACACCAATAGGCTAAACACCATGTCCTTTGTTTAGGTACACCAGTAAGCTAAACACCATGTCCTTTCTTTAGGTACACCAGTAAGCTAAACACCATGTCCTTTGTTTAGGTACACCAGTAAGCTTAACACCATGTCCTTTGTTTAGGTACACTGGTAAGCTAAACACCTTGTCCTTTGTTTAGGTACCCCAGTAAGCTAAACACCATGTCCTTCGGTTAGGTACACCAGTAAGCTAAACACAATGTCCTTCGTTTAGGTACACCAGTAAGCTAAACACCATGTCCTTCGTTTAACAAGAGACTGGGGCTGGGATTAGAGTAATGACATAGAGTTGAAGTAACTACAAGGGAGACTGGGGCAGGGATTAGAGTAATGACACAGAGTTGAAGTAACAAGAGAGACTGGGGCTGGGATTAGAGTAATGACACTGAGTTGAAGTAACAACAAGAGAGACTGGGGCAGGCATTAGAGTAATGACACAGAGTTGAAGTAACAACAAGAGAGACTGGGGCAGGCATTAGAGTAATGACATAGAGTTGAAGTAACAACAAGAGAGACTGGGGCAGGGATTAGATTAATGACATGGAGTTGAAGTAACTACAAGAGAGACTGGGACAGGAGTCAGCATAACAACAATGCAGACTTAATGAATGTAGCTTGCTGGAAAAAGGTGTTAAAGACACCACTAACACACTAACAGAAGTTACAGTAACAAGGAATAATCTGCTTTTATATCCAATATGACAACATGGTGTGAGTTAATATAATCACAAATCACTGAGACAAAATTTACAACCATAACTAAGAATTATTAAATGTTTAAAAAAAAAAAAAAAGCTGAAATAGGAGTTACAGTACCAATTAAAAATCTGCCTATATAACAAATGAGACAGGAAAGTCAAGGTAGGTATGTAAGTTTTACCCCACCAGGACATCACACAAGCGATAAACACCCGGTCATAACAAGTGCTACCATGCTGATGAGGATCACCCGTGGAGAGGTTCCGAAACCCCGTTCAGCTGTTAGGCCATATTTAAGGCCCACCGGCAAAAGCCAGGGTGGGGCTTCAAAATAACTAAAAATTGCTTCCCACATGGGGACGACAGGTGTTTATTAAAAGTCAAGGTGGCAAACAGTGTGAGGTAATACAACAAATGGCTGGGACAAAATTTTGGTTCATAATTAGGAATTAGTTAATGTTACCAAAAACAAAAACAAAAAGCTAGGGGAGAAAAAGAAATTTTTAATGTAACAAACGTGACAGAAGATTGAAAATACTAAGGCAGGGTGAAGCCGATGTAACAAATGGCTAAGACAGGAATTTTAGTACCAACTAAAACAGAGTAGATTCAAATTCACAGTCAAAGTGGAGAAATCACCAAAGAAGACAAATGTTGCACTGACTCCAGAAGACAAATGCTGCACTGACTCCAGAAGACAAATGTTACACTGGCTGCAGAAGACAAATGTTGCACTGACTGCAGAAGACAAATGCTACACTGACTCCAGAAGACAAATGTTGCAATGACTCCAGAAGACAAATGCTGCACTGACTCCAGAAGACAAATGTAGCAATCACATCTAATGACAAATTTTCCAACTAACCACCCCAAAAATATTTTAAATTATTTTCAAGTCAGTGAAAATAATGTCCACACCAAACATGAAAACCTGCCACAATGAGGAGTGATGACATCTGAAGGCAAATATTTCAATGACACATGATGACAGATACTGCAGCCACATATGACAGGAAACATTCCAATGACATTTGCTTGTAAATATTCTGATGACAAATACTGCATTCAACCATATCATTAAACAGTCTTTCAAGTGTTACTGAATTTGTCAAAACACAACATAAAAATCTGACGTAATATAAAAGAAACAAGTAACTGGCTAACCCCCTGCCCCTCCTACAACCCCAAAAACACACAAAAACTGCATTACATACATCTTGATAAATATTCTTCTTCTTGGCTTTCACCAGCTGTAAACTCCAGTGACGAGTTCTGGTTGTTAATTTCCTACTGGACAATCTAGTCTTGCTCCAGAACTTGGGTTCTGAATGCACATCAGTTCTTACAGATCTGGCTTATTTGTAAGCAGACTGTTGGTTCCTCGCCTCTCTGCAGATGCATATTCCAACTTTCAAGGAAAACACTCCTAATTAGCCAACTTTTGCAACATGGCTGTTGGGGGGAAGGGGCCGTGGGTCGATTCTTTTTCCACCCCAGAAAAGGGATCCAGAACCCAAATGGGGTTAATAAACATAAAGTGAATTCTTTCCACTAAATACCCAAATCAGATTGTTCTACTTCTTAAAGTCCATGCCGTGTGGCGGTAGTAGTCATATCTAGCCACAACCTTCTGTCTTGTGTACTTTCAATCAACTCTTGACGCAGATGATCCTCCCTGCCATGTAAAACTGTCCAGCATCTTTTCTCTCGGTCTCCCACTGCCTCTCCTCCCCTCCAACTTTCCTACTATCACGATGTACTCTTTTTCTCCTTCTCATCACATGACCAAAGAATGTCGATTGTCTCTTCCTGATCACTTTTCATTGTGAGTCAGTTTCTTTCAAAACATCCTCATGACTCTTTTTATTGTTCAGGCGCGCTATAATCTCAATACCAGAAGTTCAAGAGTCATGTGGTTGCCATTATATATGACGTAACTATGTAGTAATGCACCTGACTGGATACTGCAAAAGACGCCAGGCAATAAATTGTCTAATGTGTTGTTTGTGGCCGCATTATATACATCCTCATCTAAATACTGCCTTAAACTTTCCGTCAACATATTTTTTAATTACAGGGTTCTGTCTTTAGATGTGGCTGAAAAAAATGTGGCTATTTTTAAATTCTTTCTGCAACTCTGTTTATTCCTGGTCACCCTAGAACCTCTGAATTTTTATTTCCATATAACGTGACCTGTTCTTTGGTATATCCAAATCTCCAGATATGTAATGTGACTTTCCAAATATGTGACACTTGTCCAGATCTATGCACCGAAATGCACGGCTGAATGTAGTAACATTTGACATTTTTAATGCGTTTGCTGATCTTTCTAGATGTCAATGATTTTCAAAAAATAAACTGCACAGGTAAAGGATCCCTTTTTCCTACCTTCATGCGTAATGGGCCAGATATATTTTAGAGACCAACTGGCATTCAGTGGGGGATGTGGTCACCACCATGCTGACCACTTTTACTTCCCAGGCCTTTATATATCCGGCTCCGTCAGGAGGGTGGGGAGAGGAAAAAACAGACCCACTGCCACCAGAAAGCACAGGGTGTAAAAGGCGACTTAACTAGGAGTCTGCGAATTTGACCAAAAGGCACAACTATCGCAGCATAACTGCAAACCATTACACGCTGTGCCAACCGCCCTTTTAAGGAGAACGCAACAGAAGAGAGAACATGACCTCTGAAGTAAATACCGCAGAAGAAAATTTAGAAAGAAAAAAAAAATTGCAAAATTAAACATTATAACAACAATATTATTCATAATTCCTGATCACATCGAAAGCTGGGTTCTGCAGATCCACCCGGGACGGATAAATGACCCGTAGATTTCCCTGGCCGTCGATGACCTTGACTTGCTCCACTGTCAACTTCTGCTGAGTTTTCATCCGGCTCAGGTCCACTTCTTCTTTAGCCTCGCAATCGCTGTCATCACCGTCTTTTGTGGTGGCTTTATCTTCGTCAGCTGTGCCTAGAAGTAATAACAAATGTGAATACAGGGTCAATTCGACCAACAACCGAGTTCTGTTCCAACCTTCTTCTTCTTATTTTTATCTTCTGCCATTTACCTCAGTGAAGTGTTGGGGTGAGATGTAAGTATTGTTTGTGAGCTTTTTCCAATGCACTCTACAAGTTGGTGTTCATTTATGATAGGTTGCTCCTGATAATGTCGCTCCATCTCTTGCATGGTCTTTCCCTTGCTCTGTGTTCATTATATTTCTTCAGTGTGGCTCTCTATACCAGTTGGTACCAGGGCATTCTGCTTCTAATTATTCTACTTCTTTCCTTTACCTTCCAATGGAGCAAAGGTCCTCAAGCAACTGAGGTCAAGTCTTCTTATTCTTTGCTATCACAAGCAGCTTCCCATCTTTTTAACTTTACTTTCTAGCTCCTACCTCCATGAGTTTTTTGGTCTGATATATTTCTTCTCAGTGGATTCCAGTGTAAAAACTATCTAGTTATATTGTTCTCACGGTTTTCTCAATGTGTATTCTATCGAACACTGTCTTTTCTTCACCTCTTGGTCCACTGCAGCTTGTTTAGTTCTCTCCCAAAGCTACATCTAAGTGACTCACTAAACTGTTTAATATAATTCTACTACCCGTTTTTCTTCTCCTAACAGAACTACTACTTCTGATTCGTTCTTTTGTTCTCCATCATCCTATTCTCCTTATTTTTTACTTTTCAATTCATTTCAGTAAGTAGAGGGAGCCACAGTGGTGTAGTGGCCAGACGCTAACCTGCAGATCTCAAGGTTGTTGGCTCAGGTCATGACGGACTAATTTTTTTTAAACAATTACCTTGGCTAGCAGGTCAATCCAGCCATAAATGGGTACCAGGTACAGTCATGGTAAGTAAAGGTGGCCAGCGTGATGCTGACCACATTACCTACTGAAAGTCTATTGGTCTATGAAATATAGTTCTAGCCCAATATGCCCAATACACCTAATGGTGTGAAAAAAATGGCCCTTTTCTTCTTTTCTTTTACATTTTTACCAGTGAGGAAAGTGAATGACTTACCTAACGAGGGTATCCCCATTCTAATAAGTAAATGACTTACTGGACAAGGGTGTCCCCATTCTAATAAGTAAATGACTTACTGGACAAGGGTATCCCCATTCTAATAAGTAAATGACTTACTGGACAAGGGTGTCCCCATTCTAATAATAAAAGTAAATAACTTACCGGTCGAGGGTGTCCCCACTCCGATGAGCAGTATAGCATACAGAAGCTCTTCCATGACCTTCTTGCAGACATCGAGGCTCACCGTACTGGTCACCTCAAGCAGTATGTCGGTCGTCTCCTTGGAGACCTGATTCAGAGAAAGCAACATGAGAAAACAGCTAATATAATTCTTCTTTTGTTCTATTGCTTATGCTGCAAAGTCTTGCATAATCTGCCTCTCAGGCAGATGCACTCCGGCTTGGAGGGAAGCTCCCAATCAGTCAACTCTTACGACATGCTTTGGGGTAGGCAGTGGGTCTATTCTTGTTTTCCCTATAATAGGGCCCCGGAACCGGCACAGGGAAATGCACCCTGTATGACTGTGAAACTTAAAATGGCACTGAGAAGATAATATGGAACTTCCAGCACCTGAAAGAGAGGGTCCCTGCAACAATTACAACTGTTTAACTCTGGACAAGATTTAGAAGACATGGCAGGAGAAGAAATACCATCTTCTTTTACCCCACCAGGACATCGCTTAAGCGATAAACACCCGATGACACAAAGTGCCACCATGTGGATGAGGATCCCCCGCGGAGAGGTCCCGGAAACTGTGTTCAGCTATAAGACCATATTTATGGCTGGGCTATATTGCGGCCCCTGGCAAAAGCCAGAGAAGGGCGTCAAATAACGAAAAATTGCATCCAAAATAGGGATGACAAGGTTGAATAAATACCATCTAGAATCACCAGAGTTCTAATGGCACCCATTTCAAGGTGTAGTAAGGTAAGTTACCTAGAAAGAAAAACAAATTTGAATATTTTAAAATGCCACATGTGTATGTGGATGCCAGATCTGGAAAGCAACGGCTACTCTCGATTTTAAAAAAAATGTTAATGTCTTAGAAGTATACTAAATACCATTGGACAGATTTCAGATCCAATATGCAAATAAGGCAAGAGAAGATAATGTATTCAGTTTTATAAGAAAGCGCCACTAGAACTACATTGGCAATGCACTCAGAATGGATAAGACAGGACTCCCCCACCAAGTCCTCATTTGGACACCGGAAGGGACAAGAAAATGGAAAAGACCACGAGTGACACTGTGTACAACCATTATCAAAAGGCTCAACCATGGGCCTAACAAACATTCAAGACCTACAACAGGCGGCAACCACCTGCCTAGGCTCATGAGGAAATACTAACTAATTAACTAACATGTGTACATCCATTAAATACTTCTTTATTATAATTTTAAATCCCAACAATCATTATCAACAACCCCGCATAACTTAAACGCTCATGCACTGGAAAGGGTTAAATGAATAAAGGCAGACTAAAAGGCACACAGAAAATAGCATCAGACACAGACAATATGATTAAGAAGATAAAAAGGACGTGGTGAGCTGCATATGTCGGGTGTACCAGTGTGTTGGAAAATGAACAGGCGGACAGACTGGCTAGCTCTGTACAACTTGGTGGAATGCTGATACATGATAAGGCAGATGCGATTAGGGCCATGTGGGAGAGAGAGTACGATTCGGAGGAGCAAATGGATAACCACAGTCTGGAGAGAGTTATGCAGCGAGAAGTGATGAGAGGTTCTGGCCAATGCTCGATGCTCAAAGGAAAGGCAAAACGGACGCTTAATCAGAATGCTACTGGCACCATTGGCACTGGAACTCTACGCTGGCTGCTAAAGATGGGGACGAAGTGCTTATGGAAATGCCCCGAGTGCTGTCATGTCAGTCCTTAAATCAACTCTTGCTCACTGAACAGTCGGCTCTCCATACGACTGATGAAAAAAAGGCAAAGGTGGTCTACTGCTAAACTACCCACAGCTGGGATCAAACCTGGCACTACAGAATTACGAAGTATGTTCTCAATGCATAAATCACAGACGATGAAAAGAATGACAGAGCATTACAACTCTCTCAACGCCCAAAGTTAACAGAACTGGAAAAAACTCACTTTGGTTTTGTAACTGTTAGTGATTGGCGGGAAGGAGATCACATCGCCATCTGCATCCCTGAGGCAGGGGTAGTGACTCTTGTCTTTCAGAAGGTCCAGGTACCTGATGGAATATGGTTACATCCATTCACCACATGCAGAATAATTCCATCAAACTAACCCGCCAGTAATTCTAACCATGTGTTAATAATTACTTTAATGTGGCAGTAATTTAATCAAAATAGTAGGGTGAAAACATCATTCAAGTAATGTGACAATAATTACATCAAAGCAATAGGGCAATAATTACATCAAAATAAAGTGGCAATAATTTGAGAGTAATGTAGCAATAATTTCACCTAATCCAAAGTAATTTGACATTAATTTCTAGTAATTTTGCACTATTTCATCAAAGTAATGCAGCAATAAGATTGAACAGCCTTAAAAGTCTATGGTTAAGCACCAGCAAGGAGATCAAAATTATAATTTTGAGAGCATGCATCTTCCCTGTGCCTACATATGGATGCGAGTCGTGGACTATCTCTCAGTCCTTAAGAAAGATAATATGGGGCCTTTGAGCTGAAATGCTACAGAATGATTCTCAGAATATCTTGGACAAAGATGAGAAATACTGACATCTTGAAAGATCTGAACATCAAGGAAGATTGGCTAATAAACAGCATGTCTCGGAAGCTGAAATATTTTGGTCATATCAAGCGCCACGACGGATTGGAAAAAATTATAGCAGAAGGCATGGTACCAGGAAGCAGGGGCAGGGGCCGACCAACACGAAGATAGGTACAGGATATAAGTGAATCCTTGAGTGTGAAAGTGTATGAGGTGGGAGAACTGGCGAGAGACCAGGTTTCTTTCAGGCAGACTATATTGAGAGCGACGTTCTGCAAAGAACCTGCTACATGATGATGATGAATGCTACAATTATTTCCTTAAAGTAATGTAGCATTAACGCCATCAAAGTACCATGCCAAAATTTCCATCAAAATTAAATGCCAACATTTTCATGAATATAATCAATAATTCCAACAAAACTATAGGCTAATCATGTGACCAGAATATGTTAACTTCTGGGCTCTCCTTTTTTTCTATCTGCATTTGTCCTGAAAAAAGGATGGCAAGAATGGCAAGAATGCTGTGTTGTGGTTTACACCTAAACTGCAAAAGCTATGCCTTTCAAATCCCTAATTATTCGCCTTTCATGACATGCCTGCTAGGGGGCCGTGGGCCTATCCCCCCCCCCCCCCGCCCAAAGTGGGGCCCAGGAAACCACTTGGGAAATCTCTGGCCTGTCAAATTAATACAACTCTTAATCTTCGGCTTTAAAAAAAAAGGGGGCTGCTGGCATTGCGGTTCACAGCTAGATTGTGATATCTGCCCCTTTCTGAAGATATCAGCATAACCCTAATTACTGGCCTTTAATGACCTGCGTGTTGGGGGCAGTGAATATATTTTCCCCCCCCCCCCCCCCCATTCAGGGCCCCTAAACCCACAGAGGAAATGAATGTAAAGAAAAAACAACAGAAATAAGCAAGCAACAATTTATACAATTATTACCAGTTGGTTTTTTTCCTCATCTGTTAAAAAAAAAGTAGACGTGTTGTTGCAGAACCTACTCCAGTCTTTTCCAGCTGTGATTTTAGTATGAATTTTTTTTATTCAGTAGTTTACCACTATTTACTAAACAGCTAAAAGCAACGTAAAGCGGTCTGATGCTAAAATCTGCCGGTGGAATCGAACCGGCTATCATGGAATTAGAAACAACTGCATTCACAACGCCTAAGCCACAGATGCCCCCCCCCCCCCCCGGCCCAAAAGAAAGTCCAATTAATGCATACTCCTGTGTGGGAAAACAAGAACAGTTCCACTGCCTACCTAACAAGCATGTCCTAAGAGTCGACCAATTAGGGGTTTCCTAAGTCAGAGTGCCTTCATTCCAAAGAACCAACAGTCTGCACCCAAATAAGTAAGATCTGTAAAATGGATGTGCATGTAAAACTCATGTGCTGGAACAAGACTAAAGTCCAGAGGTAGACGCATAACTTGAACTTTCCACCAGAATTTACCATCGATGAATGCACAGAAGAAGAAAAGAAATAAATACATTCAACCATCAAGCACATCAATACAATGTCTTACTTGTGAATTCCACTCAAGGTGCTACGTTTCTTCTCCTTTCTGAAGGCTTCTGCCTGCTCTCTCAGCTCTTTCATTAGGGCTTCTGCTGTTGTCACTTTTGTTTTAAACAGCGGAGTAATCTTACAGAATAAAAAAAAAAATTTATTATCACCTGATGTATTTAATTTCAACAACGGGACAAAAGTAGACAGTAGTACTATTGCCTCGTCTACAGGTAGTGTGACTATGGAGATGATAGCGGTAACAAAAGCATTGAAATGGCTAAAGATACAGAACATGATGGGTTTGAAGACAATGGCTGAAGTCCAAAGAAATCTCATCTGACAGGAATCTGAGCGCTTTTGGACTTGTCCGAGGTGCGATGAAAATCTAGTCGATCAACCAACTAATCACCATTATGTGCCTTGCCAGCTGGTGTAGGCATTCATGCGTCGCCAGATTCTCAGTCTTTGGTGTTCTGGATCACTTCTATTTATGTTATTCTTCCATGCCACTGCCTTAAGCCGTCCATCTTTCCAGTCGTCATATTTTCCAATGCTCCTTTTCTCATTACATGATCAAAGAACTTTGTTTGTCTCCTTCTCATAGTTGTATATAATGTTCTACTTTCATTAGCCATTTCCAGGCATTCAATGTTGGTTATTCTTGCAGTCCAAGGCATTCTCAACATTCTTCTCAAGAACTAACTAACGGGAAGGAAATATACTTTTCTTAATCTGCTTGAACCAGTTGAGTTAACCACCAACATCACACATTCAAGACATTCCCATAAGCGTACCTCCCCCATCTTTAGCAGTCAGAGAAGATATCCAGTTCTGTCAGTACCAGTAGCAGTCTGATTACATGTATGTTCACATTACCTTTGATGGGAGCGTCCGGCAGATACCCAGCTGCACCATTCTCTTAAGAATGTGATGATTTATTTGTACTACCGCTCCCAAAAGGCCCTGACCACATATCGCACCAACAGGCGGTGCTGCCAATCTTTCTGCCTGTTCTTTTCCCAACACACTTGAATACCCTGCAAAGCTAACTACCTGGGATTTTTGAAGCAATGCTTGCCACTCTGCACTTGTTAATCTTGTGTGAATTTATAAGAAAACGCTGTTCTTCTACCATTTAATCTTACACTACAACATTTACAGTATTTTTCCCAGGTACACAACACCCCCTATTCATTTTAAGCACAAACTGGGTAATGTATATCTGTGTGTGTGTGTGTGCACGCGCTGCTGTGTGTGCATAATCCACAGCATGCCAACCATCCTTTTCAGGACAAATGCAGAAAAGAAAAAGGAAGACATACTAGAGATTCTCTCTCTCTCTCTCTCACACACACACACATATTTATATTAAAAAACACATCCCATGTACAATATGACCCCCAATTTTAACATTTAAACAATTTGTAAAAACATATCTTACAAACCGAACTATACTACACAAAACTGCAGTTCTGTAGCAAGACCAAATTCAAGAAGTGAACAAACAGCCGCTACTTTCCCATGGAGTTTACAGTCAGTAAAAGTGATGTAAAAGATTCTACTGAACAGTCTCCTCTGTTAACTATAGAGCCAAGCAATTTGCTGTAAAACTGAGGTCGCAGTTCAGAAGGCAGAAGTCACAAAGTTTTGACTGCAAAGTGCAAAAATCGACAAATGTTAAAAAAAAAAAAGACAACCAATTTAAACAGGTGTGCCTCTTACCTGTATTAAGTGTGGTAACACTGCATCGTAGACTAACGGTCCTTTCACTGCCTTCAGGTCGTGGGTAGCAATTGTGGCCGTCTGTCGCCTTTCACAAATGGTGTCATGTAGTCTGGTCTGTTGGCAGATTTATAAAGACAAAAATACACTGCATCAGGTGTACTTAACCTACGACTCCCCCCTTACCTAGAAGCCATAAAACTGACACATCCGTTTGGGTCCAATTCCCGCGCTTAATACATATGGGGTGTGTAAGGATCTTCAAAACCTAATGGTTATTAAAGCCAGGCTGACAGCAAATTTTCCCCCCCAAAGCCTACATGATAGAGGTCACGGGATCACTGTGTGAGCCATCCGATGCATACATACATCTTTAAGGCTCCAGGGAATGTATTCCATCTAACCCTTCACCCTGTTCATTTACTGCTCCCTCCATATATCGTTATCCCTGTGCGGGTTCCTGAGCCTTTTGGGGGGGAGGGAATGCATGTTCTAGGAGGTAACTAATTAAAAGTTAAATCAGTCGACAGCTTATCATCATTGTACATTGAACCATTCAGTTCATATAAGTGCTCGGATCTCTTCTTTTGTAAACCCTGCAACTTGTAGCGGCTCACACAACCAGTTCCATGCTGATTTCTTATTTTTATTTGGTTTCCTGCATAGCACTCTTGTCTGGCCGCACCCCTCTTAACATCTTGTTCTTGCAGTAACTCTGTAGATTGATGTAATTCTGTAGATTGATATAACTCTGTAGTAACGCACCTGATGGTGTTCAGCGAAATATGCCTGACAATAAATCATGCAAATTACTGTTTCTGCATTATTTAAATACCCATACTTGCTTCACGACTCGCGCAGCAGCGTGGGAGATACTCTCGGTGGTGGTGGTAGTCGCTGGAAGTCCGCAATTTTCATATGAGTGAGGCCCTGTTAGGGTATATTTTCGGCCTCAATAATTTTGGACCGTTATTCGGAGGATAGCCTAAAATTTCAAAGGAGGGAAGATGCAGAGAAGAAGGAAATGCAGAGGAGATTAAGAAGAATGGTAATCAATTACTAATACCACCTACCTGCAGATTGATAAATCGTTTGAACATATTATTTGATTTGTTGAAGTCCAGATTTCTGACAATACAGCAGACGAGATACTGCCTCACAGACAACACACCAGCAGTCACGGAAATCTCAAGTCCTTTCTCTGATTCAAACTGAAGTACAGACATCACATCCCGTTCTAGGTCCTCAACCCCTTTCTTGTCTCCTTTCTTCTTCTTCTTTTTATCTTTCTTCCCCTTACCACCTCCTTCTTCACTTGCTCTTTGCTTATCCAACTGAGTACTGAGATAGTTTAGTAATGATTTTGTTGAATGCTCAGCTAGCTTCAATAACTTTCGATCCTTCATCTTGTTATCAGCAATAATAACTTCTTTCAACTTGGGACATTCACAGAGTTCCAGTGGGAGAGAATCTAATTTGTTGCTAGCCACATTAAGTGTGATCAGATGCGATAGGTTTGAAATGTCCGACGGCAAGGATTCTATCTCGTTATTAGCAGCATCAATGGTACTTAGAAGTATTAAACTAGGATCACAAATCCCTTCTGGGAGACTTTTCAACTTGTTACGAGATATACTCAAATACGCCAAGAATTTAAACCCTGAGATGTTCGGAAACGAAGTTAAAGAGTTCAAATTTGCATTCAACGATGTTAAATTCACAAGATTTGATATTGTTTCCGGCAGTGACTGAAGCTTATTCCCCGAAACATCAAGAACTTTTAAAGATGTGAGGTTGCCGATGGTTGAAGGAAGTTCTTTCAGTTTATTATTTCCAAGCATCAACGTCGTCAGGTTCGACAAGTTCCCCAGCTTATCTGAAATCACTTCAAGCGGCGTCCCAGCAATCTTCAGTAAATTTAAACTTGTCAGAGAGAAAACATGTTCATCTAGTCCATAATCTTCAATCTTTTTGTTAATAGTAGGACCCTGTAGAGATAATTCACGGCGGTTTTCAGTCTTGACGGCTTGAACCTCTTCCCACATGCCGGACGCCATTTTGAGTTGACTGGAGATGGTGTAATTAGACAGTGTTGCCACTTTTCTTTGACAAAAAATATCCAAAACGGTGTCAAAAAATATCTAAAAAGATCTAAATCTGCGTGAAAAAGATCTAGAAAAAATATCCAAATTGAAAAGGTCAAAAATAACATAGCTTCTGTTATGACTTACCCTACATAATTATGTCCTCACCTTCACTGATGTCTACCTCACAAGATCAACAGGATAAACTTAGCTTGGATAATGAAGTTGAAGCTTCAGATCCAAAATGACCCTGGTATGCTTTAGCTGTTCAAATTTCTTTATAAGTGGAACAGTAGGCTTATTTCTCTAGTCTCATTAGGCCGAATTGTACTGGCACGATAGCATTTCAGAGACAAATGATTTGAAAACCAGTGAAGTGTTTCAGCAAAAAGGTATTCCAAATTCCTTGGTAAATGTTTAGATGAAGCATGTGATAATGCTAGGTGCAATGAATGACGCATACATTTTATAAGTATTAACAATGGGTTAGCTTCCTTCAACTTGGCATAAACGCCATTGTTTATACCAACCATCACTGAGGCATTATCAGTACCAATTACAGCCAAATTCTTCAAGCCTAACTGTTTGCTGATTAAAAGGTCCTTCAGTTCCTAAACTAAACTTTCTACATCACACTTTTCAAATTAAACTAAGATTTTTTACAAATCGATCAAATGGTCACAGTTTGAAATTGCGCAGTGACAAATTAAAAACATTCTGACTGATACTTCAACTTTTGATGATTCATTTATCAGTATTGTTCTGAAAACAGATGTCAGCGGTGTAATATCTTTAAATGAAACTGCAGTTTTATGCTTTTTTTAGTCTCTGCATGACTCTTTGAGTTTTGTATTGTCGCTTTAATTTCACACTTGCAGTGCTTACAACAAGCTTTGGTTATAAACCCAGTTTTTAATTTTGTCATCATGCAACTACTCTTTCCAAATTTTTTGCTCATACTTTACTTTTGGCATAATGAAAGGTTTTTTCAAAGTGAAAGCCACATAAGAAGGTGAGCAATTTTTTTTTTGTTAATCACATGAAAAAAGAAACGCAAAGTCAGCACAGTGAGGATACGGTTGAAACAAAGTTAGTATGATTTACGCGCGTTTTTATTAATCAGTACCGGGGCTGCCAGATATTTATTTTACACAGTAATTATTAAATTGACAATGAAAGAAAAAAATCTATAAAATATCTAATTCCATATGAAAAGTATCTAGAAAAATATTTACGATCTAAACGTCAAAAACAGTATCTAAATGCAATGAAAAAGATCTAAATTTGGATATAAAAGATCCATAGTGGCAACACTGATCACAGCATCGATATCCAGCTCCGAGGCTGCGATACCAGGCAATCGGTTCCACGTTTCATCATCATCATCATCAATTTCCACGTCTGCCGTTAAGAGTTGTGGGGAGGAGCAATTTGCGATCCATTTCGTGATGTGTACAATTAGCTAATGTCAAGACAATCTGTGTCGATGTAGAAGCTCTTTAATGTCATTATTCCATGACTCCTAGGGTGACCTCTTGCTTTCACTTCTGATCTTTTCATATGTAAAGCCTGCGTTGGTAGTTGTTCAGGCTGCATTCTTACTAAATGACCAAACCATTCTAGGTCTCAATAAATTAGCTGCACGGTGTTGTATCAGAGACTCTATAACAGTCAATTGTGTCTACGGTCGAAACCGGCCAAAAAACCAATGAGCAGAACCTTCTTGCCATCTGACGTGAGATTTTTTTAAGGAAGTGCTGAAGAAAAGAACTTTTATATTCATTAGACATAAATCTTAGCCCGGGTAGCCTCTGATAATTCTAGGTCTAGCACCGGGACTCTCCATTTTAAACCTTCCACCGGAACTCTCCGTTGTGAACCTTCCACCGGAACTCTCTATTTTAAACCTTCCACCAGAACTCTCCATTTTAAACCTTCCACCGGAACTCTCCATTTTAAACCTTCCACCGGAACTCTCCATTTTAAACCTTCCAACGGAACTCTCCATTTTAAACCTTCCACCAGAACTCTCCATTGTGAACCTTCCACCGGGACTCTCCATTGTGAACCTTCCACCGGGACTCTCCATTGTGAACCTTCCACCGGGACTCTCCATTGCGAACCTTCCACCGGGACTCTCCATTGTGAACCTTCCACCTGGACTCTCCATTGTGAACCTTCCACCGGGACTCTCCATTGTGAACCTTCCACCAGGACTCGCCATTTTGAACCTTCCACCGGACTCTCCACTGTGAACCTTCCACCGGGGGGAGGGATGTGTAGATGGTCTGGAAGATATTCAGGAACTAGTTACGTACTCAGGCCCAGCTCCACCCATCTACACACTGGCTGACCTGTCATTGATGGTTTGCCAGGCTGGTCTACGTTAGAGGGGTGTGGAATGCACTCTCTCGGGGGCCTAGGTTTAGTGTGTCGGGTGGGGGGGGGGTGGCTTAGGGCCAGTTGTACATATTATGGGGTCGTTAAAACCGCTCACATCTTGTAGTATGGAGCACATGACCGTAACACACATGAATGAACGTCCAATCATAGTATCCTGGCCCGACTACGTGTGTCGCTTGGCGGAGTTGGGACTGAGCTCGTTACGTGTTCTGATATTCAACACGGAGTGGGGGGGGGGGGGGGGTGTGACAGGCGGCAATATAATACCAACCTTGTGCGGGTGTTTGGCTTGAGGATTTAGGGCCGCATATCCAGCGTAGTCGCTGCAAATCGCTGCAAATTAAGCAGGAAGGCTTGTTTACTTTTGTCCCGATAGAAAAGACTTCATGATTTAAACCCCGGTTTCCCTGGCAAGAGCCCAACATTCTAAGTACTCGGCCATCCGCTCAAGATTAGTGGTCAACGGTTAATCATACCACATGACGTGTTGGTGTGCTGGGAAATTAATAGGCAGTTAGACTAACTGGTTTTGCGCCACTTGGAGGTAGACTGGTACAGGACAAGCTACATCTGGTTAAGGGCCCTTGTGGAGCTGGTAAATAGGATGGTACAGCCATGACCGCCTTAAGTTACTTATGTAACCTAGGGCGGCCATGCTGTCACGAAGAGTGACCAGGGAGAGCTGAATCTCAACCATCAGGGGAGGAACAAGACGGGCATACAGACAGCTACTGGTGCCATCGGAATTGGAACTCTTCACTTGCTGCTGAAGATGTGAACGGGGCACTTATGGGAGCGCCACGAATGCTTTGATTTTTAACGCGTAATAAAACTGCAAACAAGTGCAGCAATTTAAATACTTGGGGAGCATCTTCACAGATGATGGAAGAATTGACAGGGAACTTGAGGCAAGATGTCAAAAGGCGAACGCAGTAACTTACCAACTCTCCCCACTGCTAAAACACCCAAGCATCACTATGGCACTAAAACGACAACTGATAAATTGCATGTTTATACCAACCCTCTGCTACCAATGCCAAACCTGGTCCCTAACAAGAGCACAGGAGAAAAAGATCACGACGTGCGAAATGAGATGCTCACGTAAGGCTGCCAATGTCACAAGGAGAGACAGAGTTCGAAACGAGAACATTAAATCAATTGTAGGAACCACACCATGCCTGCAATACATAAAGAAGCAACAAATAGAGTGGTTTGGCCACTTGATGCGAATGCAAACCGACCAACTGCCTCTACGAGCATACAAAGAACAGCACTACTGCCCTAGAGCAAGAGGCAGACCGAGAGTACGATGGATAGACAATATATCAGAGATCCTGAGGCAACACGGACTAACAACAACACGTGCAACACACCTGGCAAAGGATAGAAAACTGCGACTCCCCACTACGCTGTGAGGCAATTGTGGACAAGACAAGACAAGACAATAAAACTGTTAATTTAGTTTTCTTTTTTCATACTTCTTCCTCTCATTTTTTACATACGCCTTCTTACTTACTTCGTTTCCTATTATAGGTTTCATATTCATACGTTTCCCCTAATTACGTATTTCGTAGTTTCATGTTGACCTTTTTTAAAATTATCTCTGTTATCTTGCCGGTTGAGTTTTCTAGTCACAGCTTGTGCTGTATTTAGTACTCCGTTGATAAAGACTTTGGTCGAAACGTTCGGTTGTGTTTGTGTGCGTCTTTTCAATTCTCTCCGTTGAGCTTTCAAGTCACATTTTGTGTTATATTTTGAATGTCAGTTCAGTAGTCTAAATGCAACTAGCTATGTGTTAAGAATCTGCCTGTTCGTTTCCCAACACACCGGCATACCCTGAAGAAAATATTCAGAGCACGCCAACTAGCCGGGACCTTTGCAACGGTGCTTTCTACATTGCACGAAGCACACCTGTCTGCGCCTTCCTCACCATGATCTGTGAGTCTTTACTTCCTGCATGGAGCAGACAAGAACTAGTCAGCCGAGCTGTAAACTCTTCTCCTTCTTCTTCGCGTTCACCGGCTGTAAAATCCGGGGCAAAGTTCTAGTTGTTCGTCCACTTCTGGACTCTAGTCCTGTTCCAGAAAGTGAGTGTTGCGTGCACGTATGTTTAACATGTCTAACTAATTTGTATACAGACTGTTTGTTCCTTGCTTCAGGCAAGACTTCGAAGAAAGCTCCCAATTAGTCGACTCCTGCGACATGCCTGTTGGGCAGGCAATGAGTCTATTCTTGTTCCCCCCACAATAGGGCCCCGCTGTAAAGAACAAAATACGAAACCAGCCGCCCTTTTAAGAGCGACAGAAGAAGAAGGAAGAAAAGGAAGAATAAAATAAAGAAGAAGAAGAAGAAGAATGCCAATTATTGCCTTTAAAACCCCGTTTTTGCGGTGTAGGCAGGGCGATGTCTTTCAGCTTGATGATTTGGGACGCATGGCTAGTGCTGTCGCCACGGACTGTGCAGGTAGGGATTTTATTTTCTGCTCCTAACAGAAAAACATCTCCAGCCTTACTGAGGATTCGAACCCGGGTGTCCCGCATGAGAGCTTGTTGCTGCCACGGACTGTGCAG